AATCTGCTGACTGCCTCTGCCACCAGCTGCATGGGCAGAAGTTCTGCTGCTTCAAACAGCGGGGGACCACCTCTGTGGCACATCTGGCCAATATCTGCTCCAGCCATTGCAACTTTTTTGCATCGCAAGGGTTTGGGGGCCACTCATTTGACAGAGGGTGCTGTCCCTCACAGGAATAAAAGCAAGGTTGAGGATAACTTCAGGTATCCACCACCTGTGACGCACCCCTGTTTCATGAGCAATCTGCTGTATGATGTAAGTGGCAACAGCAGCACACACACTCCTAGCTGCATAAATACTGAATCGTGTTGTTTCCCCAGTGGACTGCCATTACAGCAGTGATAGCCCATCCATGGCATTTCTTCACAGCTCAACAAACACCCAAATTGCTGGCAGATGATCTGCAAGCATTCGGGGTTACAAAAGCAAAGTCGACCCAGACCTGACCGTAAGGCTCACTGTGGCTGAGCTAGATGCTATTTGCTAAGAGTGGTTGACATCAGGTCAAAAATCAGCCCTTATCACGTTTTGACAATATAAGAAGTGGAGATTTGTATCGTCACGAATGAACATAACCTGGATGGTGGTGACGTACAGGCTCAAAATGTTTAGGGGTAGGATGTACCTGTACTATCTGGTTGATACTACAGGGACACAGAAAACTAGTTTCCTACCCTATTGGAGAAGGCATGGGAGACATACACCTTGGTGACTTGCCGTCACTTGTCGTTTGGTGTCAGAGGCAAGGTGAAAACGGGGATGGTGAAAAGGAGAACTGGCGGGGTCTGACTAATGTTTGATCGTGCACACATGTTTGGGGTCCTAGTCACTGTAACCCCTTTGACTACCTGTTCCCTGCAACTGGGGGGCATGCTGCAATGATGGGACAGATACACGCAAGTGTAAGGTCACAGATGCTGTGATATCTCAATTGATGCTACGCGTGGCTTGACTCCGTGTTGTGCTTGGAACATAAGGAATATCAGCTTACCCTGTCCACAGGGCTGGAGTACCGCTAGTTGTGGGAAATCGCCTCATCTCACCTCTTGATGCACTGATCCAAATAGTCCAGCCCCTGAGTCGGTCTTCCTAGGACTGCCCTCCTTCAGCAATTTTATCTCCTTTTCAATTTCTTTCACAACTTCAAGTTCATCCTGTAAGGAGCGTGTGCAGGCATGCCACCTGCCCTTCATCAACGGGTCATCGAGCTGCTTGGTGTACCTAGTGGAAATGCAAACCCACTGCTCAGACTCCGAGCCTCAGAGTCGTTTTCACCATAGTCCCTTTGCAAGCGGCGCACTTGGATTTTGTAAATCGTCGATTCAATAGAACAGTCAAAAAGAGCAAGCCTGGCAACAAGCAGGAAAATGGCAGTTGCTAACCCAAAGGCACCATCGTTGTAGCCCCCGAGCAGGGAACAATTCTCAGTTTTAGGATGCTGACTGTGTACAAGGAGATGTGACACACGGTGTACAAGGTGTTTATACAAGCTAGAGTCGGTGACAGTGAATGATGAAACATGACCTGGCGTCCAACACAGTGCAGCGCATTTGAAGTAGATTGTGTCAGGTAAGGCATCCTTTGTGGCCTGTCTCCTGTGCATGGCTGTGAAATTCCAGCGTTACAGAAAGCAAAGTGTTTGTCCCTGTGCACACCCATTGTCGGGGCCCATTCTCAAGAAATGCGATGTAGGGCAATTGATGTCCTAATGTTCCAGTTGTGCATCCCGCAGCAACTTCTATCCCATAACCAAGGTGGCTGCCCAGAGACTCGCTAAAATTATATCCGTGCGTTGCTGTGGCTGTGGGTGAGAATGTACCAAGGGCTGACCAGGGCTATTGATTGTGACACACAAAGTGGCAGAAGACTTATTTATGTGCATTTGTGGTGACATTCTCACTGGCCAACAAGGATTGGGAAACTGTTGAATTCAAGCATGCAATGTAGCTTAGTTGATGGATAGGCGGCATCCCAAATAGGGCCACTGAGTTTCAATGGCACAAAGCAGAAGTGTTCTCCTCCAGTCACAGCCAGCCAATGTTCACGGTCGCATTCCACAAAGCCAACAACGATGCCACAGCTTTTCCATTGTTTTGCCATTAATGGTGCACACTTCTGTACACAGTTCAGTACAGAAAAGGGTTCCGACGGAAACTTGTACTGTCAGGCATGGAGTCCCTGTTGTATGACGGATTTCCATTCTGTTGAAGGACAATCGTTGACAGTGCAAGCATGATTTTCAAGAATGGCATGCCCTCCTTACGATGAACAGAGCACTCCATTGGCAACACAATGTTCCTAAAACACCCCTGATGACAAGTTTCATGTGGATCAACACAGTCAGGTATTATGTCATAAATTTGACTCGTGAGTGTATCAAGCAGAACAATTTGTGTTCAGATAGACCCAGCCTCCCTCACGTTGAAATCCGGCCCCTCCTGTGGAACAAGGAGCATCGAGCAATTGTGGAACAAAACGCATTATGACTGTGGCCTGCATCACCCAAAGGCTGTGATAGTACTGGTGTTGCGATGCACTGGTAGGCCAAAAGCAATCAAGGTGATTTTTCGATCAATCGTGCCCAGGCCCTTATGGCAACTTGCCATATACCTCTGTTCAGCACTTGGGCGCATGTTTTGGGGAAGCGAAGTTGCAAATCCGACAACTAGACTGCCCAGTGCTGTGCCACTCAGTGCCATTCTATGTTGTGCATCATTTGCTGCCGCATTCGAACACAGAAATCCACGCCACCTTCCGCAGCCTAGAACAGGGTCGTGAAACCAATCTTGCTCAGGATCTTCCAAAGGGGGAGTCCTTTGGCATTTTATCGTATGTTCCCTGTGGGAAGTTCGTGGTGAGCTGGTGGCTTTCTAGTCCCCTTTTCTTCACGTTGCCATGACTAATTGTAACTGCTCAGGAGGGTTTGCTATTCTTTGGCAACATGTTTCCTTCACAAAGAGAATGTCGGAGCCCATTCAACCGCCCACAGCTCCTCCAGGCCTGCACGAGAGCTGGAAAGTTCGGCACCGGACGCCACGCGTGGAAAGCGCGCAGCGGGTCCCAGTCCAAGGCCGGTGAAGAACGGAGCCTCATAAACGGATGTTTTTACCGTCGTCTGTGTACGATGCGCGACCCGTGTCCCTGCGGCCTCGGACAAAGGCAATCAAGGGACTCGCGATGGTGGCGAGGGGATGAGGGATGCGGGCGGCCCGCCCGCCCCGGCCGAGGCCGCCGCGCCGCTCGGGGAGGCGACGCGCCACGCGCAGGTCGCGCCAACGACGAACGGCTCCGCGAGTTGCCGCGACGATCAGACAGCGGCGGACGCGCTCGCCGCCAAGCCGCGACGGCGCCAAAGTGACGCCGATACGCGGGCGGCAGGGGCCCGAGTGCGTGTGTCACTTCCAACCCTTCCGCCTGCGTCCCCTTGCCCGTCAACTCATGACCACCCAGCGGGCCGCACGGACTCATGGCAGCCAATCCACAACCTTCGCCGCAAACTCCTCCTGACCCGCAAATCACCTCCAACTCCCCAATCCCCAAAACCACGACAACGAATCTCCCTTGGCCGCCCCCCCCCCAATTTCGCTTCCGCCCACCCTCTCCTCCCTCCGCACCCCAACAGCTGTACTTGCTCTTCGCGATGTTTGCGTCGTGTGCACTGGAGGCTCCACATCATCTGCTCATAGCGCGTAAGCGACCCGCAAGCACACTAGCCAAGGAGCGCACCCCCTTTGCATGACCTGTTTCTCGTTCCTTTCGTGGCAAGTCCACCCCTCATCCACCCTCCACACGCCTACTTGTTGATTTGGCTGATCACGCCGTCGTAGTACACAATCGCGCTGCCGTAGTCCCCCAGAAGCGCCTGCTCCCGCGCCAGCGACGCCTGGTCCGCGAACCCCGCCGGATTCATCCCACCGGGATCCCCCCTCCCCCCACCGCCCTCCCTGCCGCCCGGCACTCGCTCGCGATGCGGCCTACGGCCGCGATCTCCGCGGCCGACTGGGCCGGGGCCGCAGGGCGGGCAGGGAGTGGGTTGGAGGCGCCCGGGCCGGTTGTGTGGGCGGGAGTTTTGAAGGGCTGGAGCTGCACCGTGCGGGCGGGGGCGCGAGAAGGCGCACGAGGGTGCGCGCCCAGCGGGCGTCGCGCTGATCCGAAGGATACGAGCCTGGCGTCATACTTGGCCTATTTGTCATTCTAGAGTGACAAATTCGGCTTTACTTGTTTTTCCATTTTGGGGCGGTCTAAAGGAACCAGAGAACAAGTCACTTCTGGGCACCATCCGCGAGGGGCTGCAGGAAGGCGGACGAGGGTGGGCGCCCGGCGGGCGAGCAGCTGATCCGAAAGATCCGAGACAGGCGTCGTACCTGGCCTCGGCCATTCCAGAATGACGAATGCGTTTTTTGCATTTGGGTTGGTCTAAAAGAGCCAAAGGACAGGTCGCAGCTGGGCGCCGTCTGCGCGGGCTCTCAGAAGGTGCAGGAGGCTGGGCTCGTCGAGGCATCCAGGCGAATCTTACTGCCTGCACCCGAATCGGTGACTGCTTTAATAAGTCACACGTGCACACTAGGTCCTCACCTCGTTTTACAGGGCTAGGCTTAGTTTTTAGATTGAGTTTAGGGTTAGGGTTAGGGATAGGGTAGGTTTAGTTTTTTGGGGTTAGGGTTAGGTTAGGTTAGTTTTGGAGGGATTTGGGGCAAGCAGTAACTGATTTCGTGTAGAAAGTCACTATTTTGGTGCAGCCAGTAATTTTATGTCCATATAGGTTGGGCGCACAGAGCCGAGCTGATCCTGATGATCTGAGCCAGAAGTCGTGCTCGGCCTTTGTCGCCCCGCGGTGACAAATTCCATTGTTTGCGCAAATTCCCCAACAATACTTAAGCTGAAGTAACCCCTCTTGCGAAGCCAGGACAGTACTTTAGCCGAACTGGCCAACCACAAGGCGGGCAAGGGGTGCGGCTGCGGACGCCTTTGTCGCCTGAGTCGCTCGAGTGGGGGAGGCGATGGCGAGGAGTGGCGCGCAGGAGGGGCGCGGCGCAAGGGATGCCAAACACGAATCGCGAGACGCCAAACGCGGCGGGCGCGGGCGGCCGGAAGGCCGATCCGGCGGCGGCTGGAAGGGGTTTGGCGGGGAGGGGAGGGGGGCGCAGGGCGGCGGGGAGCGCCAAGGCGGTGTGCGGAATGATGGGAAGGGAAGGAGCCAGAGAAAGGAAAAGGTGGGGGGCGTTGTTGAACGTGAACATGCTGTCGGGCAACATGAAAACTCGACACACCGGTCATGTCGCGTGTCTCTGCTGAACTCAAATAGTCAGACAGCGCCCCCGTGCTAGCTGTCTGCATTGCCCTCACAAGTTGGGGGACGGTTGAGCCCGGAAAGTGGCTGTTTGGTCCCGGGCTGTGATTGGATGTGATTGAGCTATGGGAATTGTTGCTCTGGGCAATGGGAATGTGTGGCGTGTGTGGGACGCCTGTCGGGGGCGAGAGAGGTGGGATTGGGGCCGGTGGCTGGGCCAGCGGGCCATGGAATGTTTTTGGCGATCGGGATTTTGGGGCGGTCGATGGTTGATGGTCATGCAGTCCGGAGGCTACGGGTGGAATTGCCGTCGCCCGACGCGTGTTGCGGGTAGTCGGGTTATGAAAGCAGGCCTGGAGCATGCCGCTTCGTTGAAGTGGTTCTCCCTGCGCTTGTGGAAATGGGGGTTATGTCGGTTGATCCTGAGCGCTGCCAAGTTCGAAAAGCCCGAATTGCAGTCGCGTCGTCCACAAACCTTAGTTGCACTTTTTGAACTGTGAGACATTCTCACGTGCGGTCGTGAAAAGGAACCCGTGGCGATGATCATGAGATGAAAAAACGACATTTTCACTTGGTGCTCACTGACCAGCTTTTGATAGACTGCAACATGAACCAACATTGCGTCGTTGCTGCTGACACATCAGCGCCATCCAAGGTGCTCAAATCCGTTGACTACATTTGTCACATAAACATGACAAAACACTGCCCTTGCACCTTGGAGGCGATGTTAGGCATAGATTCCAGATCAATGTTGCTCAATGTATCGCATGCTTTGTTCATTGTTGCAATCCAAGGTGCGAGGGAATGGATTTTGTAATTGGCTTCGACAAATGTAAAATACAGGCAGAAATGACACATCTGCTGTGGAAGAATGATTCCTGGAAGGCACAAGGGCAGTGCTTTTCCTTTTCCTATCAAAGCTGATATTGTAATAGGGAACAGCGAGTAAAGAAATTTATCAAGACGTTGTTATGTCAACTTTGTAGAGGAAGAAGGGGCTGAAGGTGGCCAGGGGACCAGCCCCGGACGTCAGCAATAGCGGAGACCCCCACACGATGGTCATTCACAGAGGCAGATTTACGGTGGGTAATGGGTACCTTTGGGTTCATTAGTCAGTTGTTCTTTGTGAGTGTTTGCCCAGCCCAGGTCTTGTTGCTGCACATTGAAAGCTGTAGTGGTGCATATGGCACAATACTAATGGTAACAAACCCATCACTGGTGCAACAGACCATGCGCTAGAGTATGCTGGGGAATTGCACAGCTGCCATGACACCTGCCTTTCTATGGAAATCAGTAAATTGCAGACCTTCGGGCAGTTCAGTGGCGGCACCAGTTGCTGGCAGCAATTCTGTGCCTGTGGCCCAGTGCCCAACATCGCCTGGGGTTTTCTAGGGACTTGCTTTGTCCTGTTTTCTGACAATTGAACTAGTGAGAATCGGCAAGGAACAAGACGTGCAGTACCGTGGTACGAGGCAGCTGAGAGAGCATTCTTCAGGCGACAAGTTTGAATCTCAAGACACACTGAGGTGGCTGTTTGTTCTTTGTCCTAGCGTGCCATTCGTCCATTGAAGGAAGACCTGAGGAGCCTACTCCAGCCCAACACGGCCGCAAAACTCAAGGTATTCTTTTGCATGCATCCCTTAAGGTTTGCATATCCATTCACTCCTGCACCCAACAGCGAGGTATCCGTGCACAGGCAGTGATTGTTCATGCTTTGATAAATGGCCTTGATGAACCCTCATCTGCATGACATGCCCTGTCTGTTGATATTTGCAATCGATTTTTTGCTCACTGAGAGGCTTACGCCCACACAATGCAAGATGCTGAGTTCAGTCAGCATGACTTTTCTTTCGCTGTGTCAAACAGGACAGAAGGGATAATCAGATGAGAGACTTTGTGGATGTCTGTGGCCCACTGGGGGTGACACATCTTCTCATCCTTTCTGCAACAGAGCATGGGGTGAATTTAAAGATTGCTAAAGTGCCTCAGGTGAGCAGATATCCCCGTGTGTAAAGATTTCCTGTCACTAGTTGCGTAATGTTCTGGCCCAGCACTTCCCACACTGAATGCCCTTTGGGTGTCCCAGAAAGATTTCGCAAACCATTTTGTCCAAAGAGGACAGTGGCATGATGAGGATACAGTTGAACATCCAGTGGGCTGCAAAAATAACAACAGTAACATTGTGAAAATGTGCTTACAAATTTGTCCTTCTTTGGCATTGTACATTCGTGATCACTATACACTTTGGGGCTTCACATTGTCTTCCAGTTTCTTTAGCAAGGTGGTGCATGGACCCAGCGTCTTGTGTTATGATGGTGGCAGCACCTGCACTATACACCTGGTCCTTTTGCATGCGACGCGAAACTTTGCAGGAATGACAACAACAGAAAACGCTTGCATACACCGCAAGGCATGAGAATGAAAAATTTGCGCACATGTGTGTTTGTCCATGCAGGGTCCAACCATCAGCTACCGCATTCTCAAATACTCCCTCATGCACGATGTCTTGGCAGCACAAGCCTTCCCCAAGTTCTCCCAGAGCATGCTATCCAAGCCACCCCTTGTTGTGATGACCAACTTTGGCCAACAGGAGCACCACAAGCTGGCAACTACCATGTTCCAGAACATGTTTCCTCCGCTCAACCTTGCAACGATGAAGCTGTCGAGCTGCAAGGTAAGGTGTCGAGGATGGCAACAGCTGGCCTCGCACAACCTTTTAGAATCCATTTTGGAATTGTAGCCTGATCTGAACTATATTGGCATCCAGAGCTGGATTCGGTTTTTACATTTGTTCCATATGAAAAGCAAAAAGGTCAACAAAGAGTACCTTATCCTAAGCAAGCGGGTGCGAGACTTTTTCCCATACTGTGAAAATATGTTTGAGAGTCTTCCAGTGCAAGATGATGGGCACAACACCATGCAGGCAGTACAAACAGCAAGAAGACGTCTGGGGAAATTGCTCACAATGGGGTTCAGGATGCTGGGTTAATTGTCAAGTTTTTGGCTTGGGTTGTGGATTTGATGGCCAGGTTTTGGGTCTCTTGTACTTTTGCACCTAGGGACTGAGATAAACATATACACACTGTGAAATCCCATGGAATACACAAATGTCAAAATAGGATTATGAATCCCCCAAAGCCATAAAAGATTTTTGAACATTCTGAGACTGGCACAAAAGTGCCAGTCAGCATTGTTGAGCATTCATTATCCTATTTCTGCTCACCATCAAGCTGCACGCTGTACATTGTTTGGCAGGAGACCTAACGAAATGCAGTGTTTGCTGCATTGAGCATCGTATGTTGAGAACACGCGTACCACAAAATATTCAACCCTTCCACATAGCAACGCAGCATTTGACCTTTTTATGCAGAGCACCAATAAAAACTTAACGGTGCCAAGTATATGTGGACCAGCCCCAGCCGTAGTGCGAGAATCTCTGGGACTGCTCGTGGCATCTAGCAGCTCCAGATGCACGAGTCGCTGTGGTGGAAAACTGGCTTTTGAGGCCATGTGAACTGAGTTGAGTCACCAATTCGGCAGTTACAATTATGCGAAGCCCCCCCAATAACGGTGTGTCGAAAATGCGGAGCAAAACTAGCAACGGTGAAAAATTTCTGATGCGGAAGGGTTGAGTATTTCACGGTACAGGCCATATGGCAACTCTTTATCAGTTTAGAGGGTTTGCTGTCAGTATGGGCATAGACAAGCTCAGACCCCAGTTCTCGGCTGCCTCTGCAGCTATTTTCAACTTGGTACTCCTGTGCTTTGGCACTTTACATTATCATCACCTCTTGGAGTGGTGCTGGCTGCATTGTTATCTCTTAGAATCCACAATCTTGTGCTGCATGTATATGTCCAGGTGCTGCCCCTGTTCTGATAAAAGAGATGCAGACCTTGTGCCACCAGGCAACGAAGTGCAAGCACAATGCTAATACTTTCAGGATGTTATGGTCTTGGTCGTCCCTGGATGCAACCTGTAACGATCCACACCCTGAAACCCTGCTGACATCAAGCACATTCACCTCTGTTCCCTGGTGCTATTACTGCAATGGAAAATGAGAGGTTGTGTGTTAGGCCGCATTTGTCTTCCTTTGCTTACGCCTAACCTTTCCTTGGCTTGCAAGAGGGTCCTGCTGCTTGACTACAACCGTGAACGAGATGCCATTGTCCTGCGGCACTACAGCATCCGCCTGCCTGTCTCCGGCACTCGGAAGAGCATCAAGACCCTCCTGGAGCACAAGGCGCCAGACATGGGCCACATGGCAGATATCAGTGAGCTCATATCCAAGAGCGGTTACGCATCGGTAGGACTGAACACCTCGGCCTGTGGTGTCCCTAAATTCTGACATCCAAACTCTGCATGTCCACATTTCAACATGTTTGTTGTTCAAGCAATTTGTGAGCCTTTTTCGGGTTTTCAACGTTTGTTTTTCAGATCTGTTAAGCTCTTCTGGGACATCTCATCATTTTCAGGTGAAGCAAAAGCAGCCTGCCCAGTGACTGGTTCCGCATTCATTTCATTTCTCAACACATGGCAATCAGGATTTTGCTTCTGGCACAAGTTGAGGCGTTTTGTTATCCCATGCAATTGTTTCGTCCCTCGTTGTTGCTCTAGGTCATTGCAAATCTGACCTCCACCCAGTTTTCACTTGAAATAAATCATGATATTGATGTGTGCCATGGCATTGCATCTGTGAGACGAAGGCCATGGCTTGCGATGATCATTTGTGGCCATTTGCATCGCCGTGGCCTGAAAGCTACAGGCTGTGCTATGTTTTAGGAGAGTGAGGCGGAGGATGCTGCAGAGGGGCGAGTCACACTAACAGATGCGTTCAGTGCATCGGCCGCAAAGCGTCAACGTCGTGTGAAGCTGCATGAGGTGAGGGGCTGTGTAGCAAACAGCAGTGCTGCTGTCACTAGCTGTCACCCTGCCAGTCATTAATGACTAGCATTGCTACAGATGGAGGTGCAGTTTGGTGCTGTTGTTGTCAGTTGGTTGCACGGGGTTGACAGTGTGGTGCTGGTATTGCTTTGCCCTGTTCCTTGTTGAATGCGTAGAGTATTGATTCTGTTCAGCTAGTCCAGACATGCTCCAACTCCAATTGACTTGCCAGCCCATGCCTGCACCCAATTTTGGCGGCCTGCAGGTTTAGGAGAATGCAGAGGTGGTAGGATTTGCCATCGTGCCGCATTTGCCTGAAACTAGTGCCAATTGCTTTGTAGATTGGTCCGCGGCTGGAGCTGGAGATGGTGAAAATAGAGGAGGGCGTGTGTGAGGGCCGTGTGCTGTTTCACAAGCATGTGCACAAGACCTTTGAAGAAGTTGCAGAGCTGCAGAGAAAGCATGAAGAGAAAAAGGCCCTGACGGCAATGAGAAAGAAACAGCAGGTAGTATGCTGAGCAATTTGTCCTGACAGTGACCTTTGCTGACTGCAGGTTGTTACCATTGTGCCACTTGACAACAGTAGTAGACGTTTAGTTGCAATAGGGACACCCGAGTAGAAACTGTGGCTTGTGGGTTGCAAGGAGCTACACAATAAAATGCAGTCTCCAGATTGTCACAAGTTTCTGGAATGGCACTGTGCACAGAATATGGCAGATCATGCATCATCGGAACTTCATTTCACGTACAATCTCTTTTCCTCTGAGTCCTCAGGACTGGTTCCTGTTGTGCGAGAATCCCACCAACACGTACAAGTTATGCATAGCTGTGCCTGATCAAAAATTTTGGCCTTATGAGTAACGGAAGATGATTTGAATTTGCCAGATTCACGCAATCCAGTGTGGTGTACTGTCATGGAATCGCTGATTCACATTATTGCAATCTTTCCCTGTCCCTTGCTGTAGTGCAGGGAATGGTGTATCAACATGCAAATTGTGCTGAGATGTGGATGTGTATTCGATATTGTGGCTTGGCCTTTTCTCCATTGTCAAGGTAGTGCTCAGAAGATTGTGATGAGTCCAACAAGCGGCAGCTGATTGCTGACACGAAACAATGGAAGGAAACAGCCACAGGACAGCTCTGCACTGTATCAAATAGCCTTGCAGTGTGTGTATCACATCAGAATAGAAGTATTGCAGGTGCCTAATGCATCACAGTACCTGTATTCTCACTTGCCTTGCTTCTCCAACGTCGTGGTCCATAACTTATAAAGACTGGTGGTCGACCCTGAGACTGGAGTGCGCACATTGTTTAAACAAATCCAATGCTACAGTACTGAGAGACTCTGACGAGCGCCTCTTGCTGTTTCGCTCGACAGGAAGCAAACGTTCTGCGTAAAGCTGAGGAAAGGAAGCGCAAGAGGCCTGCAGATGCAGTGCAGCAGGCGAATGAGGGCGTGGCGCTTGCAGAAGATGATGACCATCAATATTATGTGGATGAGGTGTGTGTTTATGATAGCATGGACCACACGTGCTCCATCCATGTCCGCCATGCATGGCGATGCTTTTGCAACATTCTTTGGTGTACAAAGGCTGATTGGGCACTGATGATGGTGATTTGCCCACAATGTCCCATCGATCATAAACTTGCTGGACAACAGCGCAAAAAATGCATGTGCAATTCTACACTGATAGCTTCTGCAAATCTAGCGTAAGTTGTGCAACTGCACTTTTCAAGCTGCGTTGGGCAATCAGGCGTCCACAAAATGTGTTTGTTCCCCATTCGAGCACAACTCCTTACTTGGCCAGTTTTGAGCCCAAAGGATAGAAGTGGCAAGAAGAAGAGGAAAGTGGTATGTAGACGAGCGAAATTTCGGGGTTCCCCATTTCAGACCAGGTTTGCTTCATCCATACCCACAACTGTCAACAAGGCCTTTGCAACACCTCTGTTGGATGCTTGCAGCTGATGGGGCAATAGACGTGATGGCTTTACTCCCATTAACCCGAAGTCTTTAACTTATGTGTTGGATTGAATGCATTCGATAGCATGTTTTGGACTCAATGGCGATATAGCATCAAGGAGTTTGTGGCTCCTGTTGTACCACAAAGAGCCCTGAGCTTGTATGCATCTCGTAACGTTCTTTTGCTCGGTTTGAGCGCCCCAGCCAGTACGCATGCACGTGTGATAATATTAGTATAACTAACCTAGCATAGTAACATGAATATAATAACATAATGTACATAACATCACAATAGCACAATAACTAAGCTAATATAACTATAACTAACCTAACACCAGCTGGGGACATGTGATGCTTGTAGAGCACCTGAGCACGCCAAGCAGATGCACATATGCATACACGTGTTCACTCATGGCGATGGGCTCACCCTAGTAACTCGCTCCAGCCACTTATGCTGAGCTCGGAGACCTTTGCACCATCTTCATCAACTACAGAACTCACCTGTTGGGTGCACACATATGAACTCTTGCTGCTGCCCATGCATCTCCAGGTTGGAGAAGAGCCAGACGAGCATTTCGGCGGCATTGATGGCAGGCCGCTAAAGAGACAGCGCAGGCAGCAGGGGCACAAGGGGGATTCGCATCGCAGGGGCAGCAGGCGCGGAGGCAGGGGGATGCAAAATTCGCAAGGGAGGGACGGGAAGGGCCGAGGCAGGAGTCGTGGTGGTATGGGTGGGAGGGGCAGGTTGGGTGGGATGGCCTCCCGATTTGTCGGCGACACAAGACGCAGGCGTTGAAGCTGGCACGTGGCAGCTGTAAACAAGGCATCTGTTGTTGTTTGACAGCAACTTGATAATGTTAATGTTCAGCAGCTCTGTGTTGTGTTCAAGGGTGCTGCCAATATTGGCTGTCCAGAGGTTCGAAGAATGTGCAGCAATGGGGGCCAAGTCTCGTGTGGTGTGCTCGTTTCGTTTTGACCGTTCTCTGTACGTTCGCACTGAATGCTGACTCAGCCCAGGCCTTTTCGAGATCAGGGAACCTGTGGTTATCCTGTGGTCAGCCCTTAAGGTTCCTGAACGTGAAATCCCCAAAACCCTAACAACACTGAAGTAAAGTACTGAGGGCACGGAAATTAGAATCCCAAGTGCCGGACTTCAGATTATACTGAAGACTCGCGCGTGTGGCGCGAGGGATCAGTGGGTTGTGGTGAGTTTCGAATTGTTTACCGAATTTCAGACAGCAAATGCTTGTGTCCCTCTCACCGTACATAGCCAATTCCGACGAGCTGTGGTCGACATTTCAGTTGAAACTCTTGTCTGTTGGAATACCGAATCTTGCAAGCGTTCCTGCTCGTCGTCCTTGCAGCCGCAAATTTTCGTGTCCACTGTGCTCCACACCAATTCACTCGCATGCCAGAGTCCTCGCGTGATCAATCCAAGCAGACGAGATGGGCGGGTTCCGCCTAACAGCAGTGCGTGGCCATAAAAAACCCCGAAGGTGTTGATCATATGACGTGCAGAGCGTCTGCTCAATGACATCAAGTGACGTCGTGCTCCAGTTGTGGCATACGAGAGTTGTAAATCAACTCCGAGCGCAGATCGTGCTCTTGCGTTGCTCTTGGCACATATTTGACCGTCAATGTCAATGTACACGAAATATCGTCCTGGCCCGTGGCGGCTGTGCGAACACGTAACAATGCACAGGGGCAAGCAGGGGGCCACCGTGCTTTCCACCATCGAAAAGCTTATTTGATACAATCACCAAAGGCCAACATGGATTACAAGCACAGCGGAGTGGGGTTATCAATGGGATCGTTTCATCAACAAGTTGCTCTTATCAAGGAGAGGAGGTGCACATCGGCTATCTGTTTCGCCCGCCAAATGGGAAGGGCATTATTTCTGCTGTTATTTGATAAAGATCCAGTTTTCTTCCATTTTTCCACCAGTATCCTACTGAAGGAAAGCCCAGGAATGCGGATTGGAGCCGCGACACAAAACAGCTCGTGGGCGATTGATTGATATTTTTTGATAGGCTGACTAAAAATGCTGGAGGCAACGCCTTCCACGTCAGGGACTGAATTGCTGACCCGGTCTTGCAAGTCTCCGACTGGGAGGGGTCTAGGCGCAGCTGCCCAAGTCTTCGCTTCTCTTTCGAAGGCAAATTCTTGCAAAAGATTTTAGCAAAATATCCCAGTCCAGCAGATAAGCGGCCCTCGCCAGGCGCCCCTGTGGCCGGGTCGACCCGATCATGGGGCCGAAGAAGAAGAGCAAGAAGAAACTGGAGGAGGAGAGGCTGAGACTCGAAGAGGAGGCTCGTCTGGCCGAAGAAGAACGGCAGCGCCAAGAGGAGGAGGACAGGAAGCGGCGGGAGGAGGAGGAACGGGTCAGGGCTGAGCTCAGAGCCAAGCACTTGGCGGAGGAGGCTGAGAGGCTGGAAGCGGAGCGGCCGAAAATCGAGCCGTTCCTTCAGGCCATAGCGGCGGAACGGGCCTCGGCGGACGCCAGGTGTGAGCACAGCGATTGCTCTTTGTTGCAGAAGGACAGAATGGCCGAAAAACGGCCATTGAGGAAAAGGATGAAAAAAACTGAAAGTTCACCAAAGTGCGAAAACACCTGAAGGATCTCACAGCTTCCCGAGGCTGACAGCTACCAACATGTTGTAGTGATGATTTTGATGTCCATCCACAAACTTTCACAGGTAGGTCTGAATATCATCAATGCAATCTCAGCATACGCCAAACCCGAATTTGAATCCATACTCAAATGCGCAAGGTGGGAGGAGGAGAGCGAGTGGGAGCGGTACCTGCTGTGCACGGCGCGGCCCAACCCAAAGACGCCCAGCCTCGTGAACGACTACGTGAGCGCCGTGAAGCAGGAAGTGTTCTCCGAGCCCAAAGGAGCGCTGGCAGCGTGCGATGATGCTTGTGCTGTGGCCTGCGAGGCGGAAGATCTCAGACAAGATGCCTTGCAGGTGGCTAAGTGCTTTTGTTTAATTTGTCTCTGAAATACAAGCCGAGGCATTTGCATGTTGCGGGTCTGTTTCTATCCTCGTTTGCATGGCGTTTGTCATTTGGCACAGCAGAAGCTTTATCACGTTGCGGGTTATGTACAACCTTAAAAACAGTTTTCGGACTCTCATCGGTTTATTTTCTCCGCAAGCCACCCGATGGTACCTGCAGGCAGCGGTCCCAGACAAACAATGGCAATGGAACTGCGCACGCAAACGCCATTTGGTTGCAGCCCTTCAGCGACCGTCACTCGTTTGTGGATGATTTGTCGATGGGCACAAAAACGGAGCCCAGAAGTGTTCCCCGTGGAAGAAATGCACCACATCAAGGCGAGGAGGTTGGCCGTGATTGTGGCAAATCATTCACCGCTTCACCGTGGTGCCTGTGAGACAGCATTCCTTCGTGGTAACGCCAAGTCTCTGTTGCTTGCACTAGGGAAGAAAGAGCCAAATAACACTGTTCAAACGTGCACAAAGTTTACGGGTTTGGGTTATTTTTGTGTCCTTAGCGTGCAGAATTTTGATGAAATGTGTTGTATGTGTGCTCGTAAAAGTGTTATTTCGTCCTTTTTTCGCTAGTGTTGCATACCAGGCCACCGCCATGCCAGGCCGCTTCTTCGGGTCTCTCATCCCACGAAAGAAGCAGGTGGTGACTTCAAAGGAGTTTGTGCACAGTTGCCACACCCCCACGCACAATAAATTTTGCCTGCTTGCTGGTGTCGAATTGCCAAAAACCATGCATTTCAGCGGTGTTGCTGCCCAAAATGGGCTAATTTATGCGCAATACGTCTGTTGTACGCGTTCTGAGCATGACGTTACCTTTGTATCGTCAACCCTTCCGCACCAAACAATTTACCGTTACGCTTTCGCTCCGCATTTTTTTCAGGTATTATTATTTCTGTACGTTGCTCCGAAATTATACTATTGCATTGAACAGCGTTGTTTATTTTTTGGCAAGAAAAGGCCGAGCGTTACGCTATTATGCAGAAGCGTTGAATATACTACGGTATGGGCAGTAGCCTACAATGTTGTGGCCAATGCGGTTCCGCTGACGATGTTGCCATGCAGGCAGGGCGGGCGGACGAGGCCCAGAGGCTCCTCGGCGACGTGGAGAGGCTGCGCGATCTGGTGGACGGCGTCCTGCTCAGCCTGGCGGGCAACCTGCTGCGCAGCTGCGACGACGGCACCGGCGAGGCGCCCGACGTCCAGGCGTCGCATCAGTCGGAAGCATTCAAGTTCGGCATGTGGTTCAACGTCAATAAAAATCCCAGGCTGAAGGTTGTGAAGTTCGGGTCGATGCCCGTATCCGTGGAGATCCCCAAGCAGGTGCTGCGACACGATCACCGGCACTCCCCTGGGATCCATGCCCAACATCGCCTATAAGATGCAAACGTAGTTTCTGTCCTGTTCGTGTTACGACTGTAATCAAAGGATTTGATCCAGGCAGGTGGCCCTGGCGAGCGTGGCGCTGATGGCGGTTGGCCGAGCGCATGACGAGTACTTTCTGGCGTGCAAGAACGACATGATGGCGGTGGGGGGCGTGTGGCGGGCGCAGCTGTTCGCGCTCCCGCCCGCGCCCAAGGTCATCAAAAACTGGACGATTCAGGTGCGGTGCTGGGGAATGCAGCACTAGTAATTAAAGGGCCAAATAACACTTTTGCGCCGAGCACCATTAATGTTCGCACGCTAAGCACCGGAATGGTCAAAGGCGTGGTTTGCGGGCGTGGCAACGGCGCTAGCGCGGGCAGGGTCGTGGGGTGGCGCCACTTGAACGGGGACCGTGAGCTCGAATCGACGGCAACGGCTTACAGCCGAGCGAAGAAGCAACAGGAACTCAGTCCCTTGTATCCAGTCCGTACATCAATGTCCTCAATACGATTCGTGAAGCCTCATCAGTTGCTTGTGCGTACAGCTGTTGATAATATTCAATAAGTTCTAGTTACAACAGTGCCCATCCTTTGACTTGCGTCAGCGAACATGCGACGATTCCTAGCGACATCTAGAGGCTAGAGGGCGTCGGACACAGAATGACGCACAATACCCGGAGTGCGATTCCCATCAGACTAGTGGTACGCGCGCAACATTGGGCAACGCGGTTCTGCTACCTCTCCATTGCGTCTTGAATTGAACATGAGACCGAATAACACAGTCTGCAAAACGGCCCACTGCTGTGCACTTGGCATTGACCCAGTCATCACCACAAACTTTGTTACACAAGTCATATCCAAATAAGCGCCACTCCCGGGCCGAAATTCAAACATGATGTACCTGCCAAACACCGCTGTCTTTCCCCTCGGCTCAGGTGGTGGACCAGTCGGAGGAGGGGCCGCGCCAGCTTACGTACCCCCTGCTGCCGGCGGGCGCGGACGCCTCTTCCTACAGCAGCTCGGAGGAGGGGCCGCGCCAGCTTACGTACCCCCTGCTGCCGGCGGGCGCGGACGCCTCTTCCTACAGCAGCTCGGTTGAGAACGTGCCACACATCGGCTTCAACCTCCCCGTGTGCTCCGAATTCGAATACGCGCCCCGAGGGGCCCAACCAGCCGTGGGCTGGTGGGATGACGCCGAGCAGCAGTGGAGTACGGAGGGGGTGGAAAGAGTTGAGTACGACGAAGTCAGGAGGCGGGCGACCTTCGCTTGCAAAAGGCTGGCGCCCATGGCGCTGATACAGAGCCGCACGCGGCTGCTGCCGTACAGAGGCTGGAGCTTGAGGCCCGTTGACGGCCAGGGCGGCTGCAGGAACGTGCTGTCTGTGCAAACCGACGGAGACATGACCGTGGAGTTCGAAATAGGGGCGGGGTACGCCGCCCTGGCTTCGTGGGGGGGAGGGGAGGTTGGCGGAATCCGCGAGTTGATTGGGAAGCGGCTGCAGCCGGGGAGGCTGCTGTGGCGGCTTGTGCGGTTGGGAGTTTGTCTGATGCCTTCGGACAGGGACGCGTCATTCGTGCGCGACTCCATGCTCAAGGAGCCTGGTGTTGAGCGGCGGGCATGCGAGGATGTGGGGCTCATTGCGGGTGCTGCCCTGATCAGCGGCAGCAGGTGGAACCGGCATGTTGGAGGGGACGAGTGCCTGTTCAGGACGTCTGAGATTACCGACTGGGAAGCCGGGGGCAGGACGGAGGCCAAGCACGTGGAGAGGATTTTTTCCAAGGAGAAGGGGGAGGGGGCCAGGCGGGTGCAGGTGGTTGTGCGCCGTGGAGAGAAGGGCGTGGCGTTTTGCGAGGCGCTGGACCGATGTGAGACCTATCCGGAGCTGCCCGGGTACGACAGCCAGGAATACGCGGAGCATTTGTACGGGCGGGTGCATTTGAACTCTGTGGCGCTGTTTGAGGAGCACGTGGGGGAGGGGGGCGGGGGCCCCTGCGTGAGGCCGGAGACGGCGGAGCAGTCCAGGGCCACCAATCCCGTGCTGAGCCAGTCCGTCGCGCAGCTGCTGTTCGCCATGAGGATATTTAGCTTCGGGTGAGGAACGGGGGGGTGGGGTGGGGGAGTGTTTATGCAAATTGATACGTGCAAGTCAGGAGAACGTCGCTTCTTGTTGCCAAATGCTGGACCAGCGGTGTGCGCGCCTGGATGGCAGTTTGAAGTCGGCATGCACTGCTGCGGAGGGGAATGCGACATAATCAGAAGGATGGTGGGCGATTTCTGGCGATGTTCGAATACGGAATTAGTAGTCGCGGTACTGCGACAGGCATAGTAGGCGGTTGGAAAGAGGTTCAGTTGAGGTGCAGCGGGAATGTTTGTTGCGTTGGGGGAATTGGTGTGATGTGTAGACGCCGTCTCAAAAATTGGGCAACCAGTCGTTGCCATTATGTACTTGTCATGGCAATTGTGTGGCGATTTGCAGGTCTTGCAATTATGCATTTTTGCGTAGGTGTGGTCGCATGATCGCCGACACGAGTTCTTTCCGACAACAGGAGTGCGAGATGCATTTTTTGGGATTTTAGCTAGTGAAGATAATAAACTGCCGACGGGAGTCCCAACAAAGAGCAAAGAATTGCTCGAATGCCAGTGTTAAGGACAATGAGATTTCGATTCAACCGATGGAACCAAACCACGGTCATGAGCTCTGTGTTGTTTGCATTGTTTCGAAATGAGAATGGTCCAGCGAGAAAGATCTGGGAAGCAATGCCGTGGCAGCGATATGGCTAACGCTATTTAACCAGATCGGCCAGCGGACAATAAAGGGTAAATGCAGAAGAAATCTCTCAAGAATGAAGTTGCACACAGACTTGACTTGACGCCAGTGCATCCACGTCGACGCGGCACGCATACTGGGGCTGCTTCGCTCGCCGTGTGTCAGTCGTCGACACGAGAGGCAGCCCAGTACTGGCTTACGATACGGTACAGGATAGGATAGGACAGTATGGTACGGTGTGGTACGGTGTGGTACGGTGTGGTACGGACGGACTGACAAACATACGGTGCGGACGTATGGGACTGACGACCGAGCGAGCCCTCGGGACGGGTGAAGACCTCGCTGTTGCCCAGGCGCGGGACCACGGGACCAAACTGTGACCTGCTGGGACGTTTAAACTCGCGCCAGTGCTTGTAAGTCGATCTGCCGTGTGCTGCGCGGGGGGCGTTATTGCCGATCGAGCGATCGAACACTCGGGCGCCACCCACCTCCTAGGAGGCCTCCGCCCCCCGAGCCCCGCAGGCTCCACAAGAAGCGAATGCCAGCAGATCTCCAGACAAAGCCAGAAGGCTTTCAAAGCCCTCTCCAGCCTTTCGCCCTTCACCCACCTTCACCCGACGCACACTGTTGTGTGGAAGGGTACTCAAGGGGCTGGACTAACCTCTTCATTGCCCCTGGCCAGGTGGTCTGGTAGAGCTGTGGGACACCCCATTCAGAGGTACAAGGTTCTATCGCCGGTCAGACGTTCCCTTTACCATCGGCACCAAAACGACCCCTCTCTTGCCTTCCCGGTGTGAGTTGAGTCCGAGCGGCCTCTCACCTTGGCCTTCAGCCACGCCCGTAGTTGCCAGTCGGATCGGCATCCTCACATCGCTTCCCCACTCTCGCCCTTCGCGTGGACCACCTCTGGTCCCGTATCCTTCGCCTCACCCGCCAATGGATGAATTGCAAAATTCAGCCGAGCTGCGATGACACCGTTGCCCCTTGGCTCCCAACTGTCTACCGGCCTGTCGATTCTCGCTCGCGCCTCTTTCACTGCACGCAATCGAGCACTGCATGTTTCTTTTCTGGCTCAACGCCAAGGCCCCACTTGAAGCAACTAGCATTGGCGTGCCCTCTTCACGACCCCGCCCAGCGCCCCGCGCCATTAGCTGGCAGTTGCGTGTTGCGTGGCCGAGATAGCGCCGCTGGATCGACTTCAGGACATCAGCCGGGGCGCAGTGCCGAGATCCTTTGTTTGGGCTCGCCTTTGAAACGCAATGCAGAAGGAGCATTCTTGGCGGATCAATGGAGGTAGAGGTAGAGAAGGCGAAGCCCGTCTGCCAGAGACAAGGAAGGGGGACCTATCCAGGTCGTTACCCGTTTGCTCTCCCCACCCACTTGCCCTCCCGCGAGCCGCCTGTGGCCTCCTAGTCTCTCGCAGGCGCACATGCGGGGGCGTGCAGCTTCAGAGTGGCTTCCGGTGTCGTCGTTCCCAGTCGTGTGTGCACAGCGACACGACACCGAGTTCTCGACGCATTTCAAAAGCGGCCCAGTATAGCCAGCCAGGTCACACAACATGTTCCGTGTAACGCGCCACAATTGTGCGAGGTTGAGGAGATCTTGTTCGGAGATGGCAGCTCGCAGCAGCGGGACGCGCGACGAGGCTTCAAGCAGTTGTAACGACCCACCGTTTTGAGACCCCGTGCGTGTATATTGCCGCCTTTCTTGGCCGATTGGCGTGCGTCCCAATGTGTGGTGCGGCACGACTTGCATGGCAAGCCAATTGTTCTTACATCACTCGCACTCACTGGCCTCCTTGCCATCCAATTATAATACTATCCACAATTTCCTGTGGAACGTTGGCTCTGGGAGCATAAGGGTACCTTTCCTTTTCTCCATCTACCAATAAAATATGTCTCTTTTATCTTTTTTTTAGCATTCGTTTTTTCTGCCCATATTCTTTTGGGTAGAATCCAAATGCTCATCTTGAATGCCACAACTTATGGGCGTTGAGGTATAGAAATTAGATTCCCTTCTTTCCCTTGGCCTTTTGGAGGGCTTCTATGGCCACTTTCTAGTCAGGGCAATCCTTTAACAAATAGTCCTTGCTTTGGCACAGAAAACAAAAAGCTTTTTGTTTTCTGTCCCTGGCTCTTGGCTCTTGCCCTACTACCGTTGTTGCGCCATCCCATGGGCACCCGAAGGGGTGACATCATGGGGTGGGCGCCCAGGTTTGCAACCAGCAAGAGAGGCGGTTTGGAATTAATTGATCCATTGTTTGGTGGGCCCATTTAATCTCCAAGAAAACGTATATATACAAATCCTAATAACCTTGTGTACACTAAAAACATTTAAAGGCAATGTAAACTACCAAACACACAAGTAACCTAGAATATCTCAATATACCCAAGGATCCAAGGGAAAGACACACCTAACCCACTCCAACCTAAAGAGCCATTCCCCAACAACTTGTAGTGAATCTTGCAATACAACATTATGTGCAACATTAAGAATTCAAAGCAATATTACACCCCATAAGACAGCGGCTATCCTCAGACGTGAAAACAAAGGTAGATAACCAAGAACATCCAAGTCTATGATATGCACACCATGGAAAAAAACGAAATCAAGGCCCCCATCTCGAACGTGTGTTGTATAATGGCTAGTCTACTGGCACAGCTGCAACATATTGATCCAAGCCCCGGATCAGCGTGTTGAACGTGATTACCACTACAACAATCAACTTATCTACACTAGTTGTACCCAACCCAATGGATGAATGATTGGCCGGGCCCCGGTAAATCCCCAGCGACACCATTACTCAACTCGTTTCCTCCTTCTAATCCAAAACCATCATCTTACTACAAACAGTGATTTGGCATAGGAAATTCCTATAGAAGTGAAGTTACACTATATATATGTATGACCCAAGCGCCTAGCACGGCTCAATGTCTGTCTCATTTGCACAAAACATCTGAATAAGGAATCAAGATGCTATGGTCTATATGTCTCCGGGTCACAAATGTGTCTTGATCTCTCTCTCCCTCAGCCATCTCCATCAAATTATACTCATGTTGAATTAGACTCAGTATATGGATAATAGTGTCTCACAAAGAACATAAGAATGGAATAGATCCACTCAACTCGGTAAAGATCTCTCTACGAATAGCACGAGATCACCGACCCCTTGTGGATAGCCGTTACCGATATTGCCACACTACAAAGGCAATGCTATATTCTCTCTCCAGCTACCTTAAACCCCTCATCTGTCTAAGTCTCCCTTGTTTGTACCATTCCATTCCCCTACCATCCCATGCACAACTTCTCTCCAGGAGTGGACACACTTGTGTTGCGCAACACTTTAGACAAGGTAGGTGGTCACCAAAGCTACACATGCTTGAATTCATATTTATGGTAATTAACCCCAAGTCCTATGGTCACGACTATCTACAATAACTAGCAAGTTAAAGGTCTTTTGGAGTCTATATATAATGTCTAACTATGACATCCATGCCTCTTAGTAGTCATCCCCCCTATGGACAAAATAGAAAATACAATATATACAATTTCTTAATTGTCCAACTCTTGGAGCCTAACTAATCATAATTGAGACCTTGAAGTAATGCTACCATAAGACTCTAACAAAAACCTGGCATGACCGCCGCAATTAGTCTATAAATGCCATAGGGTAAAAGAAGTCCTTTTCTTTTCCCCAAATAAAAACTGTTTCTATAATGCATTTGTGCTTTCTATAACCTCTATGTACTTGTCACTTTCTACTCACCTGCTAATTCAAAAATTTACCCCCTTATGGTATAGGCCCAAAACTTCCTAATTATTAACTCTATTATTCCCATGCCACGCCCCCTCATCCATGTTCTTTACTATTTTCCCACACCCTTCGCTCCATATCGATTCCACCAATTTCTCAATGGCTCACCAGTTGCTTGTGTTATTGCTCTTTTGTGGTTAATGCTTGAAGGCCGCTCTGCCAATCCCTGATGCACAAAGACGACTAACAACCTTGCTTGTAGTGAAGCTCCACCACCATTGCTGAACATGCTGACTCAAAGTCCATATACTACAGAGTTGGGGTTTCCTCCACAGCTACTCCAAAGTTGTGGTGACGTTCTATCCACTAGTTGGGAAGTCTCAAGGTCCTCCACAAGCACTCCAAGGCGCTAGAAAAATCGCTATTAATAGGCCAAGGGGCCTAAGTGTCCCCCTTTGCCACTCTTGGTTGAATGGCAATAGAACTGGAGGATATGTAGTCAATCAAAGGGCAGAATATTCCCTTTGTTCAAGATATGGGAAAATTGGCTATAATAAACAGCCATATTCG